AGTAATTATTTATATTAAAAACTTGACAGAAAAAAACCGAAGACCCCTTAGTTCATTGTTTAAAATTAAATACAAATTCGTATACCATTTTTAATATATTAAAATAGATTTTTAAACACTATAAAAATATCTATTAAATCACTTTATTTATTATTATATTGTATTTATTTATTTTCTAACAGTGCCTGCTAAGAAAAGTTAAGAGTTACCAACATTTTCCTCTCTTTTCAAACCCTTTGGCTCTATTTTTCTTTCTGCTTTTTTATTTAAAGTTAATTTTAAATGTTACTTAAATGCAACTTATACTAATCAGTGGAAAATGCAGCCGCAGGCTTTCCTCTGTTTGCTACTCTTTAAAGTCCAACATTTTCCGCATTTTCTTTGTAGTTGAGTTTTGCCAATTAGGAGCAAGGCACATTTTTTGTTGTTTGTTGTTGTTATTTTTATTTCGCAGGTGCTGAGAAAATGGCACACAGCCACTTGACTTGCCCAAGCTTCTGCCTGCTTCTTCTGTCCGTTGTATTATTATCCTTGTTATTATTATTATTATTATTATTATTTGTTGTACCCACTGAGCCACTCACTAATTATGCAAAAAATGGGGGGAAAGAGGGAGGTGGGTGTACTATATAAGAATTTCTGTTGCATCTGGCCAAACAGCAGTAAAAAAAGTGGAACGCGGGCAACGTCAGGAAAAAAATAGAATAGCTGGAAAAAAAAAATAAATGAAAAACCGAAGGCAGTGGAAAATCCTAAGAATTCTTCTTCGCTTTTTTCGCACTTAACTGTCAACCGCGCACACACACGTGTGTGTGGGTGTAGCAGTGTGTGTGTGTGTGCTAATTTAGGCGTCTTTTGTTGTGTGACAGCGAGCGAAAGAGATGGAGCCAAGGGTATTTATCAGAATTAAGTTTGTGGAGGTTCATCAAATATCCTGGAAAAATCCTTAAAATACATCTAAACAATTATTATAATTATTTAGAAATTTAAATAGATATTTATTTTTATAGTTTTGATTATTAACAAACGATTTAAAACAGATTCCTTCAGAAAAATGTTGCCTCTTTGGGTAAAACAGAAATTTAACCCTCTAATAATAATAAATATATTAAAAAAACGGTTAACCAATTTATTTTATATTATTATTTTTATTAAATAAATCCTTATTTTATTGCACATAATGTATTTACATTTTGTGATGTAAAAAATTGAAAAACTTTAACAAACGTTGCGTATACGTAATATTTTTCTTTCAGCTAAATGTATGCAAATATTACGTATACGCAATGTGTTATTTGGATATAGTCTCTGAGGGTATACTTTTTAATTTTGATATTAAATATAAATAAAATAGAATACAAATAATTAAAAATAGCCATATCCATTTAATTCTTTATAATTTTGCTACAATAATCACAACATTACGTATACGTAATATTTTCATTTTTGAATTCATTCAAAAAACTGCTATAAATGTTTTATTTATTTTTGTTGAATACTTAAAATTGAAAATACATCCAAAATATACCCTGGAAAATATTTTATTACAATTTTTTTGGCAACCAAAATAAGAAAAAAAATTCTGTTGCTTAAAAAAAACGAAATGTGTGTATAGAAACCGTCGACAAAAAAGGACAAAAAGCGTTAACAAAAAGGCTTTGTCTGCTTGCGGCTTGCCACAGCAACAACAACAATAAATACAACAATAAATACAACAACAAATTCAACAACAAATACAACAACTAAGTAAAGCCTGACTAAAGAAGAAGAGCAAAGAGAGAGAGAAAATAAAGAAGAGTGCCTGCAATGAGCCTCGTTTTACTCTATTCCGTTCCACTCCGCGGCATTTTTTCCATATTCCAAGCTTAGCTCTCTCCCTCTCCCCCCCGTTCATTCACTCAATTATTCAGTCAGCCAGCGACTCAGGCGGCATTCACTCATTCATACCCATTCATTCCAGCATTCATTCATCCATTTCCATATTCATTCATTGATAACTAAGGTGCGAGGAAGAGGCCTCACTGTGGCCTAGGTTTTATTTAAAGGCGCCTCAGCGAGACACTGTGAAAAAATATGTTATAAAAATTATTAAAGTAAATTATTATATAATCATGATAGTTTTATAATCTTAAAATGTAGGAATATTTATTTATATTTTTTTATTAAGAAATTTTGTTTGATTATGTTTATCATTTAGTTCTTGGGAAGTATTACTATTTCAGAATATAGTAAAAATAATATATGGTGAGATAATTATCATTATTTTTAATGTCTTTTAATATTTGAATTTTTTATTTTAATTTTAATTTTTATTTGTTTTTGTAGCTAAATTGCTACAAACAATTTTTGGTAAACAAATTTATGCCACAAAAAAAATATACTTTCTGAAAAAACGTGTAAAATGTAAAAAAACCTTTATATTTGACTACTTAAAATCTCATATAAATATTTTTTAATAATTATAAAGAGAATATACATTTTATTCGGCATAATAATATATATGTTATTATATGATATTTTGAAGGAGTTTAGAGCCTACGAATTTTTTAAATACCTAAAATTATATTTCATTCTTAATTACCCATTGAAAGCTTCATTGTTTCTTACCTTTTTTTTGAACCTTTTTGACAATTTCAAACGAGTTATCAAGTTAAAGAAATATAGAAAATTCTTTACAAAAAATAAACAAACAATTCTTTATAGATTTTTTTCGTGCACTTTCCTTTGTCCTGTTTTCCATTTTTGTTTTATTTTTGTGCTGTTACCTCTCCTCGAATGTCATCAGATGTGGCCAAAAACCCAAACATTTTAGTATTTTTCAACTTTTCTATTTGGTTTTCCTAGTTCGCTTAATGCAACGAATATCGTTTTTCGGTTCTATATTCTTTTTTTTTTGTTCTAACCTTTGTTTTGTTTTTAGTTTTTCGCTGCACGTACGTGCAATATTTGCGAATTTTTTGGATGAGGAAAGGTCCAGGGCACAAGGGCGTGGGACTTGACTGTGAATTTGCCACTTTTATTGTTTTTAAAACGCTTTCCAATTCCTTGCCTCGATTCTTGTCTATTTTCTCGATTTTTCCTGCTGGCCCCCTTCTCGTTGCAATTGCAATTTCAGTTTTATTTTACGCGCAATTTGTCTGCCCCCCCGTGGGTGGTGGAAAACCGATGAAAATCGTAGGGACACTGGCCATGGACAGAGACTGAAAAACTGAAACAAAAGAAATAGAAGCGAAAAAAAGCAGCCCCCAAATTGAAAACCAAATAAATAAGTGAACTTTCTATGCGGGTAAAAGTTTTGGCGGGGTTGGTGTAATTCGAGGCAAATATCCGAGTGCCTGCAGGAAAAATCTGCAACAAAACAGCTCAAGGAGGAGAAGGAAGAGCTTCTAGCACAAAGGATATAGTGTATATATACATACATATATCCTATCTGTATCTGTCCGATTGTTTGGCCAATATCAATGCCAATCCCGGCCAGCCATAAATCATTCTGTTCGATGTCGAGGAAAATGGGAAAAGCAAAAGGAAAAGCAAAGACAAAGACAAAGACAAAGCCAAAGGCTGATGCTGCCTTCGAACGATTAGCGAGAGAAATTATATATCTTCTTCTTTTGTTTATCCTTGTTTTGTTGTTTTTTTGTTTAGTTTTCGTTTCTGTGTTTTTGAAGACCAAAATTTGTGCATTTTAATGGATAAATATTTGGAAAGCGCAGATGTAAGCATAAATTGCTTGGAAAAAGGAATAGCAAATGTTGGAACTTTTGTTGAGAGTGATTTCATTGTATTTAAGATTTATTGGTAATGTTTCTTAAAATAGAAATAATATTAGTTTTCTATAAAAAAGAGGATATTGATATAATTGTATATATCTTAAATTATTGAAGTATTAATTTTCCAATGCAAATATACATGAATTTATTTTATTTTTCCCAAGTTATATGCCTTTAAAATAAATAATACTATTTTCTTAGAGCTTACAATAATTTTTATATACTTTAAGTTCTTAAAGATATTATTTTTGTATCATAAGAATTAGGTCTAATATATTTTCCATGCTTAAATAAAGCTTTAGTTTTATATTATACCCTGTCAAAATGTTTTATTTATATTAATGTTGAATTTATTCAATAATTAATAGATGTTGCACTAAGAGTAGATAGTTTTCCCTATTATTTTAAAGTTTTCAAAATACCTCCTTTATATTTCTATTGCAAAACTACTTTTTAAATATGAATCTTTACATAAACTTATATTATAATTGTCTTTAATTCATTGAAAAGCTTAAACTAAAATTACGTATACGTAATATAAGATGCAAGTATATAAATATTACGTATACGCAATGTTTACTTTTGGGAAAAGTTTCAGAAGAGTTTCTTAAAATTTTAATATAAAATATTAATAAAATACAGTAAATACAGCACAGATATATATAAGAACTCTTCTGAGACGTTTCCCAAAGTATATATACATACATTAAACACCCCATAATAACCTTAATTAACTTTATACAATATTATCTTAAACTAAGAATTTCCCTTGAAAATATTTAAAATATATTTTAACCATATAGTTTTTATTATTTTCTTTATATTAAAGTCTCTGTAACATATTATAATTTAAGATTTCTAAGATTTCAAGTCCCAATCTTAAGTTGACAAAAATTCCAATCTAAAACCCTTTCCTATTCTTCTTTTTTGACTTTTCCCATATTTTTTCCAGAAGGGGCGTGACAGTGGGCGTGTGCTTGTTGTGTGTGTGTGTGTGTGTCTCTGCGGCTGCCGACAAAAGTGCAATCGGAATTGGAATTGGAATTGGAATCGGAATCGGAGTGGAGAATCGAAATCGGTTGGACGATACGCAACCGATACCCGTTCGAACAAACTCAAGTGGCCAGGATAGCCGGCTAACAACAAGCAGGAGCAGGCGGAGTCCAGGATTCACTTGCCAAAAAAAAAAGGAGAGAAGGAATCCCAACAACAACAACAAAATAACACCCCCCCAAACACACACACAAGCCTCTGGCTGTCCTGACAATGTCCTCGACGTCGTCGCAGTCCTCCGATGGAAACGAGACTGTTGGCGAAATGTTTTCGGAAGCGGATACGGCGGAAGTGCGGCATGTTGTTCAACGCATTTTGGTGCCGTGCGTTTTTGTTATTGGACTATTGGGAAATTCAGTGAGCATTTATGTTTTGACGCGGTAAGTGCACTTGTATCCCCCACACATGTCCTTACCCTTACCCACACACCCTCCCCCATCTGCTCCTCTTGGGCTCTGCCCGTGTCCTTGCCCCCAATTCTGCGGCTGTGTTTTGTTATTGTTGCCGGTGGATTACGGCCCAAAACGAATCGCCAATGGAGTGGGCGTGGCCTTTAGGCACTGTTATTTTATGCATTCTATGCACAGAGCGAAAAATTATATACATATACATATAAATAAAATAAAATAAATAAAAAATACTATATATATATATATTTTCTATATAGTATATAAAATATTAGGAAATTATCATTTAAAAATGTTGTAATTTTCGTTGTTGGTGTAATTCTCGTTGTCTCTATAGATATTTCTATAGATAATTGATATTTTACCAAGAACTGTTTGAATTTCATTTAAAAATTACTGAAATTTGATAAAATGTTAAGAACAATTGCAGAAAATGTTTACATTTTAAAAGAATGATGTTTATTTATTGATATATTAAAATTAAATACTTATAAGTCCAGTATACATATTTCAAGAACGAAGAATACATTTAAATTCGTATAAAGCTTTGAGTTTTAAATAATAAAATATCAGGCAAAATTATTTAACCATGATATTAAAATAATTTATCGGTAAATACTAGTTTTTAATTAAAAAAGAATTATTATTAATTGGTTTCATATCTGTTAGACACTTTTTGTTAAGAAAAACGTACATATTTCGAAATATTCAAAATAAATATTGTTAAATTAGAAGATATAAAAGTAATAAGTAAAATAAGTTTTGCTTTATTATTGCCATCCAGAAAATACTTTCTTTTTAAAATAAAAAAAAAATCATAAATAATTTTAAATATTTACCGTAACGAAGACACTATTTTTTCTCACTGTGCAACAAAAGTGGAATACGAAAATGAAGCGGCGAATGAAGCAGGTACGCAGCGCATTAAACACGGCATTTAATTGTAGCCACCGACGCTGCACTTTAAAATCATTTCAACACCGCCAACAACAACAACAACAACAATAACAACTATAGCAGCACCAATAAAAGCAACAATAACACCAACAATAACAATAACAACAACATTAACATCAACAACAACAATAACGAACAAATGTAACATGCAGAACAACAACAATAAGTGAAACAATAAGAGTCATTTTATGTGCCAAATGCAAAAAGCGTAGCTTTTGTTGTTGTTTTTACAGATAAGCAAATTGTGACAAAAAGAAATAATAACAACAACGAGAATTACAACAACAACGAAAATTACAACAACAGTTTGTATGTTTTTTATGTATTTTTCGGAAAAATATCGAGCAGTTACAAGTGCTTGGTACATAAGTATGGGGAATATACTCAATGGGAAAAGGTTAAATTAATAAAAGTTTAAGAAGAAAATAATATATGTATATAAATAAATAAAAAGTAATAAATAATAAATAAAAATACATACAACATAGAATATACCTCCAACAAATGACCAAATAAAATAAGAATAAATTACTGAATAAATACTTCAGTTTCCCCGAATTTAACTAACAAACAATGCAAAAGAATTTATATAATTTCAATATTAAATGTTATTCTAATAAAAAATTCCTAACATATCAAATTTCCTTTGCTGATAAAGAGATACATACTTTGGCACTCTGCCCTGTAATGAAATACCCTGTGTTATGGTTCTTTAATTGATTATTTTTACTTATTTTTATTTATATATATTTTATTTTTTTTTCGCTGTGAGAAAACAAGAAAATTTAACTATCAACGCCTGCGGGCGATGCCAGAGAGAAGAGAAAACTAAATGTTAACAGTTAGTTTTTATTGTTTCATCTTTTGGCTTTATGACTGTGCCGACATTTGTGCGCATTTTCGGAAAATGCCCTGCCCCCAGGGGAAATTCAACTCCCCCCTCCCCGCCGACCATTTTCCAACCCCTCGACCTCCTCGTTTTGGAAAGCTTTCGGGCAATTTGCTATTTCAATTGGTGTTGCACTTGCCGAGCTGCATTTCGCATTGTCCACCAAAAATGGTTTGGCCTGATTTTCAAATGCGAATTGGCGCTACCAAAAATAAAAAAAAAAACCATAGAGTCCTCGAAAGACAATAAACACAAATCGCCATTCCTTTTTTGACCATTTTCAGGAAGCGAATGCGGTGCACCACAAACATATATCTCACGGCACTGGCCATCACGGACATTGCCTACCTCACCTTCCAGTTGATCCTTTCACTGCAGCACTACGACTATGTGAAATATCATTGTGAAATCTATTGGCAACTCTACGGGATCTTTGTGTGGCTCTGCGATAGTTCTGGTAAGTAATTGTTAAGAAAAAACTATATTAAAATGGTATATAAACTAAGGTTAAAGGGATATATATTAAGGGAAAAAGAATGAGTAAGAAAATATGAATATTTAGAATGAATAAAGAAAGAAACCATTATTTAAAGAAGCAAAAATCTCTACAGGAAAATTCATAGTTAGTTGTTTATATTTTATACATTTAACTTTAAAAATAAAGCAAAAATAAGCCAATTTTGCAGAAGATAAACCGTTAAAAATTAATCCATAAACATATTTAGCGAACCAAGAGTTTATGTTTATTTAGTAGAAAAAGTCTGGTCTAGGAAATATATTTATTTAGCTGAAAAAATCCTTTACCTTTTCTATTGTTATAAGTAAAACCTTTACAAAATTAATCTAAAAACACATTTAATTGTGTTGAAACAATGCCTTGATGGAGGGACTAAAAGGCAGCCAGAAAACTGGAAACCATGGGGGCAGCATCAACAGAGAGTGAGTGTGGATTCCATAAATTCCCTGGGTTTCCCCAGCAAACCCCCCTGAATTCCGGGATGGGCCCATCAATTGGAATTGCACCTGCGGCGACTGATGCTGCTGTTGTTGGTGTTGGTGTTGCTGCTGTTGCTGTTGGTGTTGCTGCTTCTGCTGTTGGTGTTGCTGCTGTTGGTGTTGGTGTTGCTGCTGCCGCTGTTGGTGTTGCTGCTGTTGGTCTTGCTGCTGTGCATCAATTTCATTGAGCTCTGCCAATTTACGAGGTATAGTTAGCAGCGCTTTCTATGAAATGCCAGCGGTCAGCTGAGGCTCACTGCCATACGATACTCTCTAGTGCCAGCGCCCCCATTTTCCCCACACTCTTCCCCTTCCCCCATCTATTTTCCGGGGCTATTTCCCCTTGATTTCATCCCGCTTTTCCCCAGCGCCACCGCGGCTCATCAGCGGAGCATGGACGTCAATCGTTTAGAGTGCGCAGCGTTTTGAATAAATTGACAGCGGAAAAAGGGGAGCTGAGCGGGATTAATAGAGCAGTTTGGGGGGGTTTTTATAATCCCAGTGTGCACACATATAAAAAAAAGGATATATAAATCATTAAAATGTGCTATAATTTTGAGGAGAAAAGTATAGGTAGTTAACTAAAGGAAAGAGGTATTTATTTACTTTAATTGTTGGGAATTATTTAGGAGACTTTAGAAATGGTTTTACGTTCCTTTAATTATATTATTTAAATCAATTTTTGAAGAGAATAAATATAATAAATTGTTGTATAAAGTAAAGGTTTGTAGAGGTAATTTAATATTTACTTAACACAAATTAAAGCTGCCTAGAAAAGGCAGCTTTATCTTTGAAGAAAATTTTATTTAAATACATTTAAAGGTAGATAAAATATGTTTATTTGTACACAATTTTAAAAACTGATTTCTTATAATAATTATTTATTATTTATTGTGTTTAATGTATTATAAAACATTTTATTCCAATAGATATTTAAACAAAAGAAATATACAGATATATATAAATAAATATAATACTTTTAAGCATAAGATACAAGAAATAATTTGTGTTAATAATAATTGATTATACATTGTAGTATTATTTATTTGTAAATACTAGAGAATTCATGTTTTGCTTCATTTTGAGTATAGAACAAATACTTATCATTATAATTTAAATATATTACAAATTATTTAAAATTAACCCTTAAAATTAAGTATATACAAAATAGATTTATTAAGATTCTGTTTTAAATTTCTTTTGTGCAAGTGCACACCACTGATTGCACCTGTATTGTTACACCTGCCTGTCTCTGCCTTCTACCTGTATGTAAACCCCCCTGGTCTCAATTGGTTTTTCTCTGTTTCTCCGGACAGGTTACATCTCGATTTACATAGCCGTGTGCTTCACCATCGAGCGATTCATAGCGATACGCTATCCGCTCAAGAGACAAACATTCTGCACCGAGTCGCTGGCCAAGAAGGTGATAGCAGGTGAGTAGAGTGAGTGGAGTGAGTGGTGTGAGTGGTGTGAGTGTCCCTCAAGGGGGATTTGCACACGCAAGTGAGTAATGGAATTATTCACTGTCAATGCCTGAACTGTGGGCGAAAAACTCATAAAAAATTGAAGGGAGATATAGGAAGATATAAAGAAAGTATAAAACTTATAGTTAAATCTATAACTTGTTTGCTTTCTAATTTAAATAAAAATTAATATAGCAATGGGGTGTATTTTTTTTTATCTATAATCTATTAAATTTTTATATTTTTTTCCCCAATAGCCGTGTCCCTGTTCTGTTTGCTCTCTACGCTCTCAACGGCATTCGAGCACACAATTAAGGTCGACTGGAAGCTGATTGATGGCGCCTACCAGCCCTGCAACCAAACTCTGGCCAATGTCTCGCCCACGCCACCATCAACGTCCCTCACGCCGGCATTGTCCACGCCCCCATTGGTGACGCCGGCGACGATTTGGCAGGAACAGGAGCAAGAGCGTGAGTCCTTGCAGGACTTCTTCACCACGGAGTCGTCGAGCGTCAAAAGCTCGAGACTGTTGCTTGACTTTGGCAGTGGCAGCGGTGATGGAGAGCCAGGTGAGTTTGCCAACGGAAAAATTATAGCCTACTTTTTTGGGGGAAATGTGTAAAAGGATATACATATCTGAAAAATTAATTTTAATTACTTCAGAGACTGTAATAATTGTTATATATATATAAAAGTAATCTATAATTATGGGGCATACAAAAATATATACTTTTAAAGTCGGTGAATATTTGAAAAATATAAAACAAAGGCTTAAACAAATCTTAAAAAGAAGTTTTACAAAAAGAATGTTTGCTAACAGGCACCTAAATATAATAAATATAATATATGTATAACACAATAAATACATAAAAATTACATCAAAATACTTATCTAATTTTACTTAAAAATTTCTTGAACATTTTCTCCCAGTGTAACTCGTAACTGTCTACAAATATGGTTGTTTCTTTTTCTTCGTATCCTCAGTGAACATTCCACGTCTTCGCCGACACTGGCAGTCATCTGGATTTGTGACGCCGCCAACTCTGAGGAGAACGCTTCAGGACCAAGATCGTGTGCTGGAAAATCGGGGGAAAATTGGACAGAAACAGGAGATGGTACAGGTCACCACCGAGAGTTTGCTACAGTTGTTACGTCGCAAACGGAGCACGGACCACAACATCACGGATGCATTCGCATTTAATGTAACGGAATACTGTCAAAATGTGAGTGTAAATATGCCAAGAGGGGAATCCCCAGAATATACACATACACAATGACTCCTTTGGGGGGAGGAGAGAAGGGAGGAAAAACATGAGCGACTCACGAAGATATATGCGACAATAACTTTAACTCATAGCTGGTGCTTTGAATTTCGCGAGGGGTGCTTTTATAACTGAGAAAGAAATTCAGAAATGTCAGCGAATTAAATTAATCCATGAGCTGAGTTTTAAGTTCTTTAGTTTTTGGTGAAATGAAAAAATATTGTTGTGTATTCTTAGCATTGAGATTTAAGTGGATTAGAGTGTTTAATAAATTTATGCTAAGTTTGTTTTTTTTTTATTAAATATATTAATATGATTTGTCTGTTTTCAGATGACTCTTTATAATCATGGCTTATCGGAACTGGGCATGAATGAACTATATGGAAATATTTGGAATGTATTTACATTGCTGGTCTTTGTGGTATTACCTTTGCTTCTTTTGGTTACCTTTAATAGCTTTTTGATACTTTTGGTTCATCGTTCGAAAAGCCTAAGAGGAGATTTGACAAATGCCAGCAGTATTCGGCGCACAAAAGTGAGTTTAGTAACTAAATTAAAACTAAGACTCTTACGATTCTATTATTATGAAAATAATACACTTATTCATAGCTCTTTTTGGGATTTAATTAGTACATAATTTGTACATATTTTAATTAATTAAATTATCTTTTCCTTTATCTCTTTCATAGCGCAAATCAAGCTCTGGTATAAAGGGCAGTGTCTCCCAGGAGAATCGTGTGACCATTACACTTATTGCCGTCGTTCTGATGTTCATTGTGTGCCAACTACCTTGGGCTATTTACCTGATATTGAACACTTATATGGATATTCAGGTGGGCACTCAATTGGTGGCCGGAAATGTATTCAATTTGCTGGCCGCCCTCAATGCTGCCTCGAATTTTTTCTTATATTGCGTGCTGTCGGACAAGTATCGGAAGACAGTACGGGAATTGATCACAGGATACCGATACAGACGTCGACATGCTAGGAATAATACAAGTCTTTATGTGCCGCATACAACAACCACATTGAGTCACATTAATGGTCATGATCATTACGGCGGAACCGGAAGTCGTCGAAGTCGTAATAATAATAAATCCATGGCTACGGGTCGCCTGATAGCGTGATTTATTTGGATTTATATATATTTATATTATTTATCGGCTGAATTCCCAATGGGGAGAATGTGTGGAAGAACCACAGGAGAATAACCAGGAGAATTCTAGGAAGAAGTCCAGAGAATTAAGAAGCCCGTAATCACCAAAAGAAAAAGTGATTTTTACTCCTGAGTGTTTAAAAGAAAAACTTCATTTGATGTACGGCTCAAAGGGAAATTAGAAGAAATATTCTTAAACTATGTCTTTGAAGAGTATTTAATAGAGAGCTTGACTTGACTTTAAATACAAGAAAATTAATCAAAATAATGAACTTTAGCAGTCTTTGGTAATTTTTAATATTTAATTACCTCAAAAATATATATTTTAACCTCTTACAAACTCCAAGCCAAGCTCTTTAAATATTCCTTCAAGATATAAATCCCAGATATCTGTATGTACATCATCTATCTCCACACACTATATATTACATACATACATAATATTACATAACATACATTGTGCCATAATGTGATGATTATAGATTTATGCTAGTTAACCTAAACGTAATTGTTGTCCTAAGTACTAAACGCATCAAATCAAATACACAATACACACAGAGGACACACCACGGCTGTTTGCTATTTGGCCACGTCCCACGGGGCGTATGAATAACGCACTAAAGCATATTAATTTGGTTGGGCATTTTCCCTGGAGGTGGGACTCACTTATATATATATCGGATAAAATCGGGGGAATATAGTTCAGTCCGGTTAACAGTCCGTGGGGACAATGCTGTTAAAGGAGGACACCGAGGAGGAACAGCAACAAGGACACAAAAGGAGTCATTGCAAAGAGGAACAAGGAAAGGTTCTCTATGGAAAAGCCATTAGAAGCTTGAAGTACCCTCTGTTTTTTGTATAAATTGTAATTTTTGTAGCATTTTGTAGAAATAATTTAATAAATAAATATATATAATAATTAATTTGTGATTTGATTATATGGTTAATATATTTTTAAATCTATTAGGATAATATTGATGGATTTCCAAAGAAGAATCCATTATTTATATAAAAAATATCAACATAGAGGCTGTATATTTTTCTTTTTAAAAAATAAACATTTAAAATTGTATATATATTTTATTTTTATTATATATATTATTATTACTTAGCAATTTTTTGCAGCAAGTTCAAATCACATTCATGAACAAATCAAAGTAAGACCATAAGGAAAAGTAATTTCAATAATAAAATATATATCTATATTTAACAGAAGTAAAAAACAAAATACAAAATACTAATACTTTTTATTAACATTTAGCATTTGGTTTTTTCAAATCAAATTTGATTTTAATTTTTTTGTATTTAATTTAATATATATATATTTTATTCCAAGTTCTATAAATTGACCTCTTTAAGGGGTACCTTTGCCAAAAAAAAACCAACACAAAAAACGACTGTTATTCAGATATAAGATAGTCGCTGCCTGTTGTTCCGATAATTGAAGTGTTGACAATGGCCAAGGCCTCTAGATCTGACCATCTGCAAATCCAAAATCTCTGCAATCTCTCTCTCTCTATATATACATATATTCTTCAGTTGCCTGTGAATTCGGGGCTAACCGATACCTAATTGAATGCGAGCCAAGTCCCAAAACCAGGTTCACTGTTAGCCTTTTACCCAGTTGCAGTCGTGTTTTCCCCGGGTTTTTCCCCATTTCCACCCCTCTTCCTGGTTTTCCTGGCCAAAATGCAATCGAACAGCTGCAGCAATGGGCTGCGACTACAGAGATCCAACTAAGCCGATAATTGAAGGTGCCGGCGTGGCCAGTATTGAGGGGGGAATGGGAATGGGATTGGGAATAGGAATAGGAATCCTTGACCATCCTCTGAAACCTCTCCCTCTCACTCTCCCAGGATATAATTGGTTCAAGCTTCGTATTAGTGATGCATGCGATATGAGACAGGAAAATATTATAATAGGTTGTGGTACAAAATATTGAATTTATTTATAGTTTTTTATTTGTCAAGTTAATAAATCAAAATCTGTTTAAAATGTTTGATTTTAGAGAGAGTTTTCTTAGATTAATTTTAACTTTTATTTGGGAAAATAAATTATATATATTTTTATTCTATTATAAAGATCAATGCTTAGAAGTTTAGGCTTTACAGAAGAATTGATTATGATTTTCTCTAATTAATGTCGTTAGGATCCTTTCTTATTATAAGTCTAAACTTGCTTCTTTTTTCTATGGTAAATTTTCCCAAAATTCAAGAAAAATTGTCCCTATTTTAGGTAAGGTTTTTTTCCAATTTAAAAACAAATATCGCATATCATTGTCATCTCTAATTCAAACCAGAAATCGGCCACCTATGCCGAATGCTAAAATACAAGTGAAAATCTTTTTTCAAATGCTGGCAATAAATTTGTTTTCAGCAAACCCACATTTTCGAGTACGGGATAACTGTTTGGAAAATGTCTGCGTGCATGTGTGTGTGTGTGGAAAAAGGGAAAGCCAGTGCACATACACACAGAGAGAGAGAGAGAGAGAGAGGTATCTAACAGATACCGAAAGCCACACACAGTAACAAGCGTAATGGAGTAACAAACATTTGCGGTTTACTGCATTTCTATTTCCCCCACAGATAGAAAACGCTAAGGCCATAAACGCATTTGGTGTCTCTGATGGTCCAAGCCAATGACATTTGTTGTTTTTTGCAACTAAAAAGTAAAGTCGTTATTAAATGTGAGGTAAGCGAGAATATTCCAGAGACTTAAGTGCGAGTTGCATAAATTCTTTAACAAATTTCAAATTTATGTATTAATTATATAAACTTTTTCTTTGGGGAGAGATAAGTTTGCCTTTAAAGTGAAGTTTTGGTATATATAAGGCTCCGCTTGATGCCATAAATATGTCTTAATTATTTGTAGAGTTAGAAAACACTAAGTATAAGTTATTAAGTGCTTACTCTTTCTTAAAGCTTAGTTTCAGAATATTCTATATAAAAACGGTTTAAATGATATACTCTTAATACATAGCAAATACACTCCCCTTTTCTATTTAATATTTTTTGTTGTAACCACCGAATGAGCTTCTTTTATCGCATTATTCAGCCATCATCGTGGGGGAGTGAATAGAAATAAACCAAAAAATAGGAAAAATCTAGAAAAAAAGTGTGCAGAAAATGGGGGGAAATATTATGAAAGTGTAACAGCTGATTTCGTTGCCATTTTTACCATAGAGAGTGCATGAAAAATTACAAGTCAGCTTCACAATTGAAATATTTCCGCCTCAACGCACTGAAATGCGCAATCGAAAATAGTTATCTCTCTCTCCCAGTGTGTGTGTGTGTGTGTGTGTGGCATCCACATCCTTATCCTCTATTTTGCCCAGAAATATGCAACCAAACTTGGTGGGGCAGGACCAAAAAAAAAGAGAAAAAGCGGGGTGGCAGGCAGACGGATGTGGCAGCGACAAGGACAACAACGTTGTGGACACATATGTGCATTATGTGCGGCACTGAACACTGGCTAGTGGATACTGGTTACTGGTTACTGGATAGTGGATACTGTATACCGATTCGGGTCCGAGAAAATTTCCATATTTGATTGTTTTTGAACGCCTGCCGCAGGACGACAAAAGAAGGCCATACACCAAAGCACAACGAAAAGAAAATAAAAACCTGCCAACAAACTCAACATAAAATAAAAAATATTATATGTATAAAATATATATGTATCATATATATATGCATATCTCGAAGAGCGGCGTCTGTTTATTGAAAATGGCATATAAAAATCGTATGGGCGGTTGCATTTTTGTTCTTCTTTTTTTTCGGTAGTCCCCTTCGATTGTCGATTGAATGCGGAATTGTGGCATGCACCAGGCATAACATTCTTTTGGTGACGCTCAGCGAAATGCATGAAATGCATTTATTTACAGATATCTGGGGTGATGCTTTTTCACACACTCCAAAAAAAGTGATAAGACAAAAACAAAAAAGGAAACCAACTACGAGAAGCCGAAGTTTATATATCCTTACAGTTTGTAATTAAATTATAGAATCAAAACAGAATTCTATTATAACTAAGCTTAAAATACTAATACGCAAAGAATACAGCATCAATAATTATCAATATTTTTATAGGACAATTTTTATGGCTAAATTAAAGTTTAAAAAACTCATAACTAAGCCAATATAGCATTAATTTTAATTCGGAAAGCTGTCCAATGTAAGTTTTTGTAATTGTATTAAATCTGCATACTCAATTGAAAATATAATGAAATTCTAATTTTTTCCATTTTTTTGTTGACATTTTTAATGATTTATCCATTTATAAAATTTGGAAAAAATTTAAAACAATATTTTTTCTGCAAGATTTATCTAGATCGATTCGGTTTTTCATGCTGATCAAGAATATATATGGATTATAGGGTCGGAAATGATTCCTTCACTAACTAAAAAAATAATACCCTCGTTAAGGGTATACAAATATATTCCTTATCGATCTTTTTTATATGATCATTTTTTGGGCTAGTCAAAGTATTTAAAATATCATAACTAAGCCAAAAATGCATTAATTTTAATTCGGAAAGTAGTTATGTGCTAGTTTTTATTATATTAATTATTCTGCATACTTAATTGAAAATATAAAGAAATTCAAATTTTTTCCATTTTTTTGTTGACAATTTTAACGATTTATCGGCTTATAAAATTTGGAAAAAATTGAAAACAATATTTTTTCTGCCAGATATAGCTAGATCGATTCGGTTTTTCATGCTGATCAAGAATATATATGGATTATAGGGTTGGAAATGATTCCTTCACTAACTAAAATAATAATACCCTCGTTAAGGGTATAAAAATATATTCCTTATCAATTTATTTTTATATGATCATTTTTTGGGCTAATCAAAGGTTTTGAAATATCATAACTAAGCCAAAAATGCATTAATTTTAATTCGGAAAGTAGTTATGTGCTAGTTTTTATTATATTAATTATTCTGCATACTTAATTGAAAATATAAAGAAATTCAAATTTTTTCCATTTTTTTGTTGACAATTTTAACGATTTATTGACTTATAAAATTTGGAAAAAATTGAAAACATTTAATTTCCTTCCAGACATAGCTAAATCAACTCGGCTCTTCATGCTGATCAAGAATATATATGGATTAGAGGGTCGGAAATGATCTCTTCACTTACTATAATTATAATAACCTCTGCAAGGGTATAAAAAAAGATTTATAATCGATATTTTTTTATATGATAATTTTTTGGGCTAATCAAAGTTTTTAAAATATCATAACTAAGCCAAAAATGAATAAATTTT